AATTAACCTCGAAGGTTGTATTGATGAGACCGGACTCCCGGCATCACCTTGGCACCCCTCCATGTGTTTTTCATTTCGAGTCCTCGTGGTATTGCTAGGATCGGTCCATAACTCTGCCCGACTGAACACCACGAGTGGTCACTCTCTACGTCTACTGAGGTATGATCCTTCACTGTTCTCCGAGATCCCGTTAGCTCGCCAACTGTGCCAGCTTGCCCAAGGATTATTTCCCGACTCGAGTCTTGGGTGTTTCAACGGTTTGCAGCAGAGCGGGAAGCCAATTACTTGAATGGATGGCGCATTCGAAGTCAAAATCTGGACATTTCAGACAGCTACCTTAGGTATTCCGGAACCCGCTGAAAATCAGGGACAACCGCATCCACGGTTCCAGACCCTTCTCAGTTACCTACCAGTCGGCTCATCTTCCATCGGATATTGAACCGTCGCATCTCGCGTCTGGCATCTGGCATTTGGCATCTTGCATACGATATCACAACTTGCGCGAACTGGTCTCATGCAGGATGCTTGGGACAGACAATGTGCGGGGTTGGATTACCTTCCTTTTGATTCACACCCAAACTGAACTGTCACTCTCGCTCGCTGCATACGTATAACAAAGAGACCGCCTCTACCAGGGAAGACATCCAACTAGGTATTTCGTTTGTGTCGATTGGCATTCGTACTGAGCACTGCCTGGCAGCACACGGGTCCAAAGGGCCGTAAACTACTGCCCATCCCATGCGCATATTGGGCCAGATGGTCCGCGGCCGAGAAAAAGCAATACGCCATCCTACTCTTAAACCTCTGATGTTTTGTTTTTTTTGTATCCTCGACCAGGAGTGATCAACACCAGCTGACCTCGAACCGGCATGTCTTAACATCCAGTCTCCAGAGTAAGGTACGTATCGCACGCAAACCCCTCTGCCCAGCCGCTATGGCTGCTCGAGGAAAGGGACTAGTGGTCTCATGGCTGTACTTGGGATGGCGTGTGGATGGTTTCCCCTCTTACGGGCGGGGGAGACAAGGAGTGGTGGTGATCTGTCAGAAAACACCATCTCGACAACCCTATTCGGAAGACAGACAGCCACAAAGCCTCCCAAGTCACAGGTTGGTCCCCGAGTCGGCGACTCGATTTAATAAAAAGATCGAGTACGGCAGCCCCGCATGTCCGCAACACCCGCCTCCAGAATTGTCCGGAAACCCCCACCCCGTCCTTGTCATCGTCCACCCGGAGAGTGTTGACAATGGGTTTCCAAAAACGCGGATACGGGGAGTGTATTTCACTCCAGTGCCTGCCCGTGTCTGCATCGGATCGGAATACTCGGGCGCCAACGGTCTTCGTACAAAACCTTTGGGTGGGAATTTTCATAAAAGTTCCCCCTACGTTGTTTATTTTCTTTTCTTGGAGACCAACAAGAAAGCTCTCCCTGGTTCGCTACACCCCACTGGCTCCAGATTTGCACGACCTAAACGCCTCGCGCATCCGTGGGTTTGGTGCCAGGCTTATGGTTGGTTCGGCCGGGAGATCTTCCCGCAAGGGGTCGAGGATGTCGCCATCATTTTCCGGGGAGAGCTGCAGTTGCAGGGTGATCCACTGGACTCAAACGCCTCAAGTTCACTCTAAGATCGTTCGGGCCATATCCGATAATATCAGATAATGATGATCGACCCAGCTGCCTCCCCTCTCTCACAACGCCATGGTCTCAGCCAGTGAGGCGGCTGAGAGGTATCTTTACCGACAAACGCTCATGGATACCTAAACTATATTGCTTCACATGTCCTCCTATTCGGCTCACTCACAGTGGTTGCACTGTTTTCAGCACTAGGCATATCTCGAAGACATACGAAGACATATCTGTACCCGCCCACGCCTCTTTCCTTCCGCCAACATACTCGTCTGCGGAACCAAAGTGAGACTCTGTTCATATTTTACGGTTGTGCGGTAACACTTGTGATCACGTTGAGGTCGGCGCCATCACTCCATAGGTGCCAGAACGAATTTTCCGGCCGAAAAGAATACCAAAGTTGGAAGGCTATCGAGACTGGCCGCAGCTGCAAGCCAAATGCATTGTGATTGCCAGCATACGACCTCTCCCTGACATCTCATCTTGGTTTCTTTTTCCTTCCTTTTCTTTTCTGACTGTCTCGCTTGCTATACGCTGGGTAGATAGAGTGATACCACTGGCGGAGGCAGATTGCATGCAGGCTGGACGGGATGGAGCTGCAGCGTCCACAGTCCAGAGTCCAATCAAGGGAGTTACCGCCAAAGTAGGACGAGCCTGCAGTACGACAGTGCACAGGAACTGATCCGGAGACAGCCACACGTGAAGTGACCTGTACCTTGCCCGAAATCTATCGGAGAGGAGAATCTAACACACTACATCATCCTTTCTGATCGTTTCCTTTCTCCTTCGTATCCGCGAAATGCGTCACTCTCCGTCTTGCCAAGGCCGATTCGCCGATCCGGAAGGTCCCCGTAAAGTTGGTGCGATTGTCTGTCTCCCTGAACAGTCACGCGATGTAAGGTCTGTCTTGTGCAGAGTTCGCTGTTTATCGCCTTTAGATAGGCCGTGATCTTTTCCGCACAACGACCGCCAACGTGGCCATCCTCGCGTTTAAAGAAGATACAGGCATTAATCTTCAACTAAGTATTCCTATTATCCCGTTGTAGGTGTAAAGGGTTCATCTTGGGGTGTTTAATCGAAAAGATCACGCCCTAGGTGCACAAGACGGAGCTTGCAAGGCGTGACAGTCTATCAAATAAGCCTAGAAGAGGTCCGAATATTCAGCCTCAAGAAGACTTCATGGGAGCAAATACTCCTGAACTGGACTATTCTTCAGCTCTGGCTTGATTGGGAAGGAAAAGCGAGCATAACTGAAGCAAAAACTTGGATATCTTCTTGCTCGATATCCTTGCGGGAATCCTCCCTTGCATTCCTGTGATACCCCAGCACGTGCTGCATAAGAACTCACTGCGGTCCCTCGCCTCGGCCCCGTCAAGTTCAGCGACGGGAAGCCAGTCCGCGAACCCGGCTGCCATCGACCGACACTCGCGTTTCGGGGCACAGCATCATCTCCATCATGGCCAGCAGCCCTCGATTGGTTACCCACAGGACAACGTCTGTACGCCAGGAAAAGGAAGATGTTGTTACTTGACTTGTTTCGAGTAAGGAGGTGGGTTCTGTCTGAAGCGAGTGAAAGGGAAACGCAGAATTTGTCCTCTGATAGCCAACGCAACAAGATTACCCCACGACGAGACCCTCCTAAATGAAAGCATTGGTTGGCGTTAAAGTAAACAACAACCTCGAGGTTCCTGCTGAACACTTATGTGTACACCCACACCCGCATTTATTTAGAGGTAACCCCTCACCCCCCGTTCATTCTGGATGTAACAGCGGTGCGGGATGAGGGAAGCACAGCATTTGCGGGTGATAGCAGTGCGCGCACCACAGCTGTCAAACTATGGAGAAAATTTTCTTAACTGCGCGCTACGTTGGGCAGTACAGTGTGCGCACGCAAACACATGGAACGGCCACGGAGAAGGAATCCGGACGTAAATGACGACCGTGTGGGGGGGGGGGGAGAGAGAGGGGGGCGATAGCACAGCTATCCTCGACCAAGCGGAACTTTTCCATTCTGGAAGACAAGAGGGAGTAGGCAGAAGCTGTAGGTCAAGCCTGATTCGCGTACTTTGGTAGCTTGTTGCCCATCGTCTTCTACATCGTCTTCAAGCTGAGTCTGGCACAAGCATGGAGGACGTGGAACTGAAACTGGAACTGCAACCGGAACCGGAACCGGAAACCCTCTCTCTATGTTTTTGTTTTCGATGACATATATGTCAGACTGTTTCTCATGTGATAAGAGACGTCACGAAGGAAGAAACCATCATCTTCGACAACACAGAACGTGTTTTGTAGAACTACCATGACAATGTGGGCGATCATACACCCACCGCATCACGTCGGTGAAGTGACAGAGAAAGACATGTCACTGTCACTAAACGTTCCGCTGGTCAGGAATCTGTCCAGGATTGTAGGCAGTCGAATTTGATTCAAAGAGCCTGACGGAGCGGTATGATCCTGGCGCAGAGCAAGGTCCAGATGAAGGGGACCAAAACCGAGCTGCCGGAACTGGTCCAGTATTTATTGTGGGCAATCATTTATAAGCCGAATCAGGAACCAAAAACAAATGACAATCTTGCGGCTCGGATCCGTAAAAGTTCGGGAGGCTTCCGTTTATCGGTGGTGGTAGCAACGGATTGAAGCCTTCCACCTTCAAAGAATTATACTGGCAGATTTCTGCTGGCACCCTTTGGGTATTTGTCCTTGGGGTACAGTCCTTTGATCAAGTCCTAGAGTAACAGAGACTTTTCTGGCTGTCCTCCAGCCAGAATCACCCAAGGATAGCACTTACTTACCAACTACACCAACCGAAGTGACATTGAAAAAGATCAACCAGAGGCGAGATTTGGGAGGTGCACAGAAGAAACCTGTACCCTTTTTCCCAGTGGGATGAAATATCAGTCGGGATGCGTTAGCCAATCTCGTAGAGCTCCAAGACAAGTGTTGAAAGGTGTTCATTGAGATAGGTAGGATATGCCACAAGCAAAGCCTCAAGTGTCAATGGGACGAGCATGAGGGAATGGAGCAATGCGGACGTCACTAGACGAACCTGTAATTAAAAGTCCGACCCTCCCATCCACTCGAGACTTACCCACCAGCTGACAAGATTTTGAACAGAGTTTCTAAGCCCTCATTACGTGTTATACATGCGACTAGATAAGCCTTCCTGTAATGGAGGAGGAAGTCCAGTCCATCGTGAACGGCACCGACGATGATGGCATACATTGACACCACTGCCATCCTACGCAGAGGGGTTATATGGGAAAGGAGCACCCAAGACCTAAAAAAAAAAAGGGGGGGGGGTTGAAACAAAACAACCCGAAACAGAAAAAGGAGGAGAGCCATGATGAGATATCATGGCCTATTTGGATGGATCTTTGGACGAGCTGGGAATCGAACCCAGGACCTTTCGCATACAGGGGAGTATGCTAAGCGAACGCTCTACCAACTGAGCCACACGCCCTTCGATGAAATGATTTGATGTTTTGACGGGGATGCTTTTTGTGCTTTTCTTTCACGTGTGGGGAGAAGGGTTGCGGATACCTATCAATGTTTTGTGTGCGTTGAAGTGGAATTCCGGGGTTCATCAAGGCAAGTGGATCAATTGGTGGTGGTGACTGGTGGTTAGGTTATGTATCAATATCATCGGAAGGGCGGGGGGCCGGGGAGTGATGGTGGGGGCCTTTGACCGGGGACTGGGAGGGGTTGAGATGTTTTTTGATGGGAATTCCAAACTTTGGCATGTCAGCGATAATGCTCTGAAAGAGAACTGAACAGACGATGTGTGTGGACGGTAAGGATGTTTGCGGACTTTGGTGATGTTCACCCAAGGGCATCGAATATGCGCATGAGTTCTGAAAGAAGGGCAAAGGGTCGTGAGTTAGTGGAAATGGAAAGCTCGACTTGAAATAGGTAGTGGGGGCGGGGTTGGACTCGAGAGAGCTCGAATTGCTTTTGAACTCTGGGAATGTTTGTTTCTCTCGTCAGGTTGATTTATATGACCATATCAAGGCTGGAATCGTCCCAGGGCTATGGATATGGTTGACACTCGCAGAGCTTTTGTTGCCAGTGCAATTGGGGCTGGGTAGGTAGGTAGCGTCGTGTGTGCCGTCGATGTCGGTCAGAATAGTGAGAGACAAACTGTCTACATGGCAAATTTTCGGTCTAAGTAAAGATGACATGATATTGAGGAAATGAGACGAACACTGCTCATTCAGACCTAAAGTTTCATTCAAAGATAAGATGGTTGAAATCGTATTATTGAGATAGCAACCACTACACATAGAGAGCAGGAGGGTTAGGGTTGGCTCCGGTTGCAGACAGCAAGTTCAAGGATGTCGTAGCAACGCTAAACCGTATCTATCCTAGCGCTGAAGAATTCCTGTGGCAAGCCCGTGCGACCCTGGCTGCGCTTTGCAGAGAAATTTTTGGTTTAACGTCGCGAGCGAGACCTGGATTCTGAACTTTTATCATCCTCCAACCTTTTCATCGTTCAACCACCTTCTCAACAGATCTCCAGGACAGCATTGTACTCGCACGAGATTGACTTTCAGTAATCTGCCAACTACCACTATTTCAAAATGTATGTAGGCGCTGACAATTCGCCGCCAAAGTTCTGAACTGCAGTACACTGAAACTGACGCTAAACTTTTACCACAGGCAATCTCTGCGTCGCGCTGCCCTCCGGTCTGCCCTCTCGGCCTCGAGAGTGGCCACTGTCAAGACTTCCACCGCTCCCTTCGTCTCTACCATTGCCAAGGTTGCTGTCGCCTCAAGGATATCTCCCCTGCAAGCCGTGCGGTGGTATTCGCAAGAAAACTCCGAGACCGACGTTCAGGAAGCCGCCCAAGAAGCTACTGAGGAGGCCGCACCCGTCGCCCAGGAAGAGCAAGGTAGTAAGTAGTAACGGACCATCCTTTACTAAGAATCTTCCACGGGTTCCGTGGCTAACGCAAGTATCCATCGTAGACGTTCGTGACAAGCCTGCCGCTTTCGTCCGCAACCTCGTTTTCGAGGTGACCGAGAACCATCTCAAGGAGGCGTTTGCTACTTATGGTGAGGTTGTCGACACCTTCATTGCTCGCGACCCCCGCGGTATGAGCAGAGGGTAAGTACATCTTTTCCTACGACATTCTATGTTGGTCATATGCTTTGATGCTGACGTTGGCATGACCTCTAGGTACGGTTTCGTCACTTTCGACACCAAGGAGGCTCTGGACGCTGCATGCGCCGCCGTTGACGGTTCTTTCTGGCATGGTCGCCGTGTTACCTGCGTTCCCCGCGAGCACAAGCCCCGCCAACAGCGTGAGGAGAGAGAGAAGCCCAAGAGCAACCCTTCAACGCAGCTCTTCGTCGGGAACATTCCCTACGAGACCACGGATGCTGAGCTGAACCGTCTCTTCAGCGAGCTTGAGAACGTCTCTGATGTCCGCATTGCTGTGGACCGCACCACTGGCTGGCCCCGTGGCTTTGCTCACATCGATTTCGCCGATGTCGACGCTGCCAAGGCAGGACTGGAGAAGCTGTCCCAAGTTCAGATCGGCGACAGGAAGCTGCGTGTTGACTTCGCTAGCGGTTATCAGAAGAACTCGTCCGGTGTTGGTGGCCGGGGCGACCGGGGCGACCGGGGTGATCGCGGTGGTCGCCGGGACCAACGTGGCCGCCGTGGTGACTACGAGGAGTCGCAGTTCTAAAAGGATTTCTTGAGCCGGGTTTTGGGTTGAACGGGGTTTCATACAGGGGATAAGGATTGCCAACGTTTTTTAATGACTGGATCGCCTTCCGAGCATTGACATCGGGTTAGGTGAAGAGAGCGAGCCAACTCTGCTCTTCTGTATATTATCTATATACAATGTATGATATGGTATCATGTTTTTCTGTACCGAAAGCTCTTAAAGTTATGTAATATTAAGCGGTATCCTTCCAGCCATCTATGTGTTGAACGAACCCCATCACTGGAGTTGAATTTTCCACGCACCCAGGGAATCAATCAACCGCAACCACATGCCTCCATGCGGGGCAAGGTCGGTGGGGCGGCACTGGCTGCCGGGTACGCCATACCGAACCCCAGGCGCTGAATGGGCAGCTGCCTCGGCATTAACCAGGTGGCGGGGCTGGCTGCTAACCTGAGCTGAGGTGTTGATGTGGACTCATCGATGTGTTGTCCCTGGTAGCCGACCCAATGCCCGACCTTTTTTGTTGGTTTTTTTTTTTTTTTTTTTTTTTTTTGGTTTTTTTGCTTTGTTTTGAATTCTTGTTCCTCTTTCAGTCTTTTTAGATATAATTTCCCGATCGCAACTAGCAACACTGATTGTTTGTCAAGGTGTACGCTATTTGATTTAGAGGGACGCTTCTTCGACCTCGGACCGCCTTTTGTCAGCAGCTTAACCCCGCCACTCCGCACTCTTCAGGGCGCCTCCTCCCCCTTTCCCCTAGGTGCGACCTCGAATTGTCTACTGCAAGGTCATCATAACACCGTGACCCTTCTCCAACCGCAATCATGTCGTTTCTTGGTGGTGGTGCCGAGTGCTCGACGGCCGGAAACCCACTCAGTCAATTTACAAAACATGTTGGAGACGACAAGAGCCTGCAGCATGACCGACTGGTCGGCAGAGGGCCCAATGCGTCGATGGGCGGCTTCAGGAGCGCTGGTCGCAACAACCCCCAAGACGAGGTAAGTGCATGGTCTTCCGAGGCGATAGACGAAGATAAATGGGAGAAAGTGTGACTGACAGCGTTCCCAAACGCAGATGGTGAACAGCTTTCTTCAGCAAAACCCCAACCTCTCCGAGATGCCCCTTGAGCAGGGTCCCATGGGCCAACTCCCCGTGAACTCGAGCCATGCCGTCCCATTCCACGCTAGACCCAACCTACCAGGCCTCGATGCCGATACTCATGCCGCCATGGATGCTGCGTTTCAACAGATTCGCGAGTCGGCAAAATCCCCCGTCGAGATGCAGGCCGCAATGGAAGCTGCTTACCGGGCGAGCGCACATATGCCCGCAACTTCGGGGATGATGTCTCCGGATTTGGCCACGACGCAGAGAATGATGAACAGCCCTATGAGCTACGGTATGCAGCGTCCCATGTACCAGCCCATGTTTCGCCCGCAGATGCACATGGCCCAGCAGCCAATGCAGCAAGGAGTCGAGGGAAAGGGCAAAGGGAAAGAGGTCGTAGAGCTGGACGAGAACAAGTGGGAGGAACAGTTCAAGCAGATGGAGTTACACGACCAGCAACTGCGCGAATCGGAGAGGGACCAGGCACTGGCCATGGAACCTGAATTAAACCAGATGGACAAGGACCTCTTGCACTCCGAAACCGGATACGGTGACCTGGAATCAATATGGCGCGGCATTCAAGCAGAACGGGACCAGCTGAAAGAACTGGATGATATGGAGGATGATTTTGCCAAATTCGATAGCTCCAATTTTGGTGGCGACAACCTGAACGACTGGGGGCTGAACAACAGACTCGGAGCCGATCCCATTGTCCAGGACTATCTGTTCGAGGACGACAATATCTTCAGGGACCAGCCTAACCCGTACGAGGAAGGCCTGCGCATTATGAATGAAGGCGGCAACCTCTCCCTGGCAGCTCTTGCGTTCGAGGCAGCCGTGCAAAAAGACCCAGAACACGTCGACGCGTGGGTACACTTGGGCGGTGCGCAGGCGCAAAACGAGAAGGAGGAAGCCGCCATTCGGGCCCTCGAACATGCTATGAAGCTCGACCCCAACAATCTCGCTGCTTTGATGGGTCTTGCTGTTAGCTACACCAACGAGGGCTACGATAGTACTGCTTACCGCACCCTGGAGCGGTGGCTCTCCATCAAGTATCCACAGGTCATCGCCCCGGCTGATCTCTCTTCCGCCGCCGATATGGGATTCACCGACCGCGCTCAGCTCCATGACCGTGTGACCGACCTCTTTCTAGAGGCTGCGCGCCTGGCTCCTGATGGCGACCACATGGATCCCGACGTCCAGGTCGGCCTGGGCGTTCTCTTCTACGGTGCCGAGGACTATGACAAGGCCGTCGACTGTTTCCAGTCGGCGCTGCACAGCTCTGAAATGGGTACATCGAACCACCGCGAGCAGATCCATCTGCTCTGGAACCGGCTCGGTGCTACCCTTGCTAACTCCGGCCGCTCCGAGGAGGCGATTGCTGCCTACGAAAAGGCTCTCTCGATCAACCCCAACTTTGTCAGGGCGCGATACAACCTTGGCGTCTCATGTATCAACATCGGATGCCACGCTGAGGCCGCAGGCCATCTGCTGGCTTCGCTGGATATGCACAAGAGCGTCGAGAAGAGCGGGCGGGACAAGGCACGGGAACTGCTGGGCAACTCGTCTGACGTTGACGCCCGCATCGAAGCCATGACTACCCAGAATAGGAGCACGACGCTCTACGACACATTGCGCCGGGTATTCACACAGATGGGCCGACGAGACCTTGCCGAGAAGGTGG